TCTGCACAAAACCACCTGACTTCACCACTTTTAGGGCTGCAGCACTCGCTGACCAACAGTGTCATAAAAGTTTGTGGTTGGACACAAGGAGGAAAAGTCTAAATGGAGGGAGAGTAAAAGTTTTCAGGTGCACATCTATGTCCTCAATTCTGATCTGGCAGCATGCTGAGAACATAGATGTAGAAAAGAACATAGGATCATAGGAGACATGGATACTGAATCTAGAGTCCTGCTGGAAAGATAAGTCATTGACAAGACAATTAAAGACAAGGCCGCAATCTAGAAGGTGGGCCTGGGAACCAGAAGGCCAGTAGGCTTCAGCTCCCACATTACCACACACATGAAAGGGTGACCTTTCACAACCCCCTCCTCTCGGGCCTGCAGTCCACTCATTGTAGATGAAGTTATTGGCCCAGAATATCTAAGTCCAATTCCTTCTCTGAAGAACTGTGTGGCCCTCTCTGAGCAATAAGAATTCAGGACTAGTTCACTAGTCAGTGACTAGAACACTTGGCTAAGGCTTCATAAATAAATCAAGAATGGTTGCTATTTTAAAAAACACAGAGGAGTATGCCAAGTATAAGCAAAGGCACTGAGGCAAGAAGTAGCCTAAATTCAATACAAAATAAGGAAAGCGGCCTAAACTGATGCCACTCATTAGATCCTCTAAATGTTAAATGTGCATCAGGGATTAATGACACAGATAGTTTACTAAGGAATCTCAATGTATGACCTGTAAATGTGGAATGGTTTTACGGTTCCTGCCATAAGCTGTGCTCAATATTTTTTTCCTTTTCCACTGATAGCCAATTTCCCTAATGACTCTGAGTCAGAATCCCTAAATGGTCGTGTTCAGTTCCTAAAAGTGTTCCCGTGTTATTAAGACTGTTTGCTTTTCCTTTGCTTTTATTAAGGCATAATTTGTGCACAGAAGCCTGTTTATTTTTTTATTTTCTGTGAGGCAGATTGGTCGTGAGCTAACATCTGTGTCAATCTTCCTCTATTTTATGTGGGATGCCGCTACAGCATGACTTGATGAGTGATGCTAAGTCCAGACCTGGGATCTGAACCTGTGAACTCAAGCCACCAAAATGGAATATGTGAACTTTACCCCTAAGCCACTGGGCTGACCCCAAGGCCTGTTTATTTCTAAATTTCAATCATGTTTTCACTTCAGTGCTCTTTTTTTTTTTTTTTTTTTTTTTTTTTTAATAACCCCAGCCAACAACCAGCACTAGATTTGGTCAAATAGCTTGGAGTAGAAGGTAGAGAGCCTGGTTGTCCCTCGCGGCCCCTCCTCTTGCCTGCCTCTACTCCTTCTAGTATAAGGGAGGTGAGGAAGTAGATAACATGCTGGTAAGGTGGCATTCTCTTCTTGATTGGTGGTAACTTCTGCTCTAGCTCTTTGTGTGACTAATTTAGACAGGTATGACCAGCTCCACTAAGCCTTGGCCACCCACTCAGCTTCATTATGCTGTTGACTCCTAGCTGGTGGCCTCATACTAAATTCCTGATACCTGAAACTCTTTGCCTAATGATCTAGCACAGCCCCTAATATCATCTTCCCTCCATGAGCCTGACTCACAAGTAGATTTGTCTCTATATCCCTGGGAATGTAGTAATTCAAGGAAGAAAAGTCTGTCCGTTCCCCACCTGGTATCTTCTCTCCCAAGCCTCCTTCCCTAACTCTGTTAGTTTGCTGCTAGTCAACAAGCCCAGTGGCCAAGTTGGCCATTCATCTAGGAAACCAAAAGTCAGTCCCCCTATCTACTATTAGACTTGAGCCCCTGAAGTCAGAAGCTCTATATTATTCATGGTTGTATTGTCAAAGCCTAGATACTTCATGAAGGAAAGTTCAGTAAAAACTAGGGACTGGAGAGAATGGGGAAGTTGTCCTCTTTCTTCTAACCTAACACTCCTCAGCAAGCCCTCCTGGGAGAGAGCACCTCTCTCAGAAACTTTGAATCTAGAGTGAGCTCTGGGGAAACAGGAAAAATGCCACTAGTAAACTCAAAACTGTACTTTTATAGACAGATGGCGTGGAACAGATTTTTCAGATTCTGCAAAAGAATATTAAGCGAAGGAATTGGAACTTGATATAATTTGTTATGAGGAGTCATTGTGCCTTAAGCAAGAGAGTGATGGAATGAAAGTTGTGTCCAGGAAAATCCATCTGAGGGAATTGATGACACTTTGGAGGAGATAGAAACTGGATAACAGTTAAGAAGCAGCTTTAATGATGTATTTATTAATTCCTCCACTCACCTTTCAGTTTTTACTGCTCTCTTTTCCTGGCAGTATCTTAGGCTTTGAGAATACATCTGTAAATAACTTAGAGCTCCATGCTTCAAGAGGCTCAAGGCTAATAGTAGAAAGATTCACATAAACAAATATATTATGAAGCGTTTTGCTAAGTGTCATAAACATGAACTACTCAACGTGCTTTAAAGAAGCACCAAGGATGAAGGATTTGACTGCTGAGAAGCACAGAAAATTCTCACAGAGGAGGTCAAATTCAACATGAGTCTTGAGAGATAAAAGGAGTTTTACATAGCAATGAATATAATGTTTGCAAAGGTATGGAGGCATGAAATGAAACCTGTGAGGAGCTCCATGCAGCCACATTACCACAGCTTGATGTGAGGGGTGGTGCACAAGACTGAAAGGGTGGGAGGGGTCCAGATTGTGAAGGATCTTACATGCTCCACTAAGGAGTTTGGAGCTGGTCATCTAGACAGCCTGGTTTATAGAAACACTGGAGGCTTCAAACCACAAACACCTGGGTTTGAGTCATGGTTTCATCTCTCATTAAATACTCTTAGTCTCAATTCTTCATCTGTGTATTGAAGATAATACCTAATTTGCAGGTTTTTTTGTGATGAATAAATAATACATGTGAAATGTATATTAAATATAACATAACTACTGTGAAGTTCCAGAAATCCCAAGAAATTATAAAGTTTTCTGTAATATGTAATCAACAGAGGATATTAAGCATAAAAATATGAAAAAATAGAAAGACTGATACCTGAATATAATAAATGTGGCATTATTTTCAGGGAGTTGTTGCATTAATCAAGGTGAATGATGACCAGGATTTATTTTAAATTATGGCAATAGGAGTAGAAAAGAGGGACCTAATTGAGAAAATTTTCTGCATTAAAATCAGAAGAATTTTTCAAAAGGTTGACATGGGGCAAGGAAGGAGAGAGAGAGAGAAGGGATCATCGAACATGGGTCTATATTTCTAGCATGGAGAACATGATGGGTGGTGACATCATGAACAAAAGAGATGGTCCTGAGGACCTGGACGAGGATCCCAATGGAAGAATGGAAAGTAAAATATGGTCAATTAAGATGTTTCTTTTTATCGTTTCAAATGTACATTTCTCTGTGTATGTGCATGTGTGTATAAACACATGCATGAAAATAAAATTGCCTGTAATTTAAAAATTTTAAAATTGCCTGTAAGTCCAATATAGATAATGTTTGTCACCGAATGGGAAAAATGCAAGTGTTTCTTATTTTCTTCTTAATATTTGTCAATTATTCTAGATTTTGTCAACTAAGAATCCATTTCTGACGTGTAAATGAAATACATATTTTGATAAAATGAAACGATCTCATAATATTAAAAGTGTATTTATTATAAAATACTTTATGACACAAAAATTATATTTATAAAGTCACTGGTAAAATTACATCTTGGGAATATATACCAGGTTATATTGAATATAAGATTTTGCATCACACCTCTTCTTTACATATTGTCAAAACAATTTCTCATGTATTATAATGAATAGTATATTAACCTTACTCCTAATAGTGAATATATTTAATATTTCTATTTTAGACACACATTCAAGGAAGAACTTGAAAGAATTACAAATTTATGTAAAACTCGTGTATTGATAATGTCAATAATATCATCTTCATCCGTCTCAATGATAACTTTGTGCAAGCCTGACTATCTGCTGAGGCTGGCTTTTCTGATAAATTTTTGTTTAAAGATCCTAATCCATACCGATATTCTCACCTGGGAATCCAAGTGTGAATTCACTTTTTTTTCCCTCCCCAAAGCCCCGGTACATGGTTGTATATCCTAGCTATAAGTCATTCTAGTTCTTCTATGTGAGCTGCTGCCACTGTCCGGCAACTTACAGACCGGTGGTGCTGTTCCAAGATCTGGAAGCAAACCCGGGCTGCCAAAGCAGTGAGCGCTGAACTTTAACCACTAGGCCATCAGGGTGGCCCGTGAATTCCCTTTTTACTCTGGAATGTATTCTCCTTTCCCTCCACTGAGCAAGATCTCTCCTACTCTCTGATGATATCCAGAATCAAGAAGTGTCCATCAAATGCCTCTATCCAGTCTTGTGTTGGAACCTATACGAAGGGAAGCACACTCACTGCTCTCCACCTTCTGATATCTGATGGCATAAAACAGTGCCACTGACTCAGAGTTTTGTGTCCAGAACAGACAGATAGAGGAACAGTAAGATCCCATATCTTCTGCAAGACTGAAGGTTAAAGTATCTTAGGATTAGAGAGCTCAAGGATATACACTAAACAACCCTTAGAGATATTAGTTTAAATAAAATAAAATTACTGATTTTGGGGTCAAAAAACATTGATGGTAACAATAACATATGGTTTCATACAGAGTATGCTACATATTCACTCTAGTTAGAGCCGTTGAAGCTGAGTCTTCTCTTCTAATCAATCCAAAAAAAGATTTCCTGGGAAATGTGGCATTTCAGGACCTATTACACAGAAGGAAGGGAAAGAGTCTTGAATATTCAGCATCCTACTTTTTAAAAAGTAGAATACTCTCTACTTTGGACGAGGTGAGAGGCAGTTAAAGAGTGAATTAAAAGAAATACTGAGAGTTGTGCAAGTCCAACTGTTTGGACAGAACTGGAGAGGAAACCACATAGCTGAGTACATCTCAAGATCTTTCATATATCTCATTCCTCTTCTTGCCCAGTTGGCCTACAGGCTGAATGGAGACAGCCAACCGCACATTGGTCACTGAATTTGTCTTCCTGAGATTTTCGAATTCTCCACATCTCCAGCTGCTCTTCTTCTCCCTCTTCCTCCTGGTCTACCTATTGTCCCTGGTGAGTAATGCGCTCATTGTGCTCATTGTGGCCCTGGATGGACGCCTCCATACGCCCATGTACTTCTTCATCTGCAATCTCTCCTTGGTAGAGCTCTGGTACACCACAGTCACTGTGCCCAAAATGCTGGCCAATTTTCTATGTTCCCAAGGGGTCATCTCAGTTCCCAGCTGCATCACTCAGTACTACTTCTTCTTCTCTTTGGTTGCCACTGAGCTCTTTATCCTCACCACCATGGCCTTTGACCGTTATGTTGCCATCTGCCGACCACTCCATTACCAATTGCTGCTGAGCCCCCAAACGTGTGGTACTCTGGCTGGGGTCTGCTGGTCTGTAGGATTCCTCTGTCCCATGTTTCCCTCATTCCTCCTTACACAAATCTCCTTCTGCACCCCCAACCAGATCAACCACTTCTTCTGTGATGCTGATCAGATTTTTCGGCTTTCCTGCACAGACACATATGCCATCCAAGCAGTGGGCTATGGTTTGAGCACTGTTATTATCTTAGGAAGCCTGGTGTTTACCATGGCTTCCTATGCCCAAATCCTGGCCACAATTCTAGCCATGGCCTCTGCTGCTGCCCAACGCAAGACTTTTTCCACATGTGCAGCTCATCTCTCTGTGGTCACTATCTACTTTGGAACTCTCATATTCATGTATGTCCGCCCAGCAGTAAAATACGAGTCAAACATCAACAAGATTGTGGCTATTTTCTACTCAGTCATCACCCCACTTCTCAATCCTCTCATCTATACACTCCGCAACAAGGATGTCAAGGAAGCTTTGAAGATGTTGGTGTCCCGGATCCAAAGGATCTGTCATTCAAGCTGGGAGACTCAGTGATGGTGCCACATGAGAAATCAGAGACAGCAAAGATTGTGGAATATCCAAATAGAAAATAATCCTAATTACTGCCTTTTACCTGTGCAGTGTATCTTTTAAAATAATTGAATTTATAGATTTGCCTTTTGTGAGTTATCTGTGGGACATTTTAAGTGAAAGACTTGCTTATTCTGCCACCCACTATGTCCCACTGTCTGTTGCTTCAATTGTTCAGCTTCTCCAGAGGACTGGATAATCTCATGTTAACATTAGTGCAGGGAAATGGCACAGACTTTGTAGTCCATGCACGTGGAATGGAAATCCAGCTCTCCCACTTGGTAGCATCAGTTAAGTAAGGCAATGAGAGTTCTGCATATTTAAACAAAGAACTGCAAATCATTTTTACTTCCCTCAGCTTAATAAAAAAAAATCAATTTTTGGTAATATCCATAATGTTCACTGTAGGACCTTCAACTAAAAAACTCCCATAAATTTTGCCCCAGGCCATGGATTGGGGAAACAGAAGTGAGAGCCTTGCCTCCTATCTCCTTGCAGATCCACCTCACAATAAAGCTTTTCTTCCCTCAAAAGCTGGTGTGCCATGGTTTCGGCTTCTGTTCATATCAAGTGGCAAGCCTTTGCTTGGCAACAAAATGCAATTCATAGTAATTATAACCAGAAAGGAAGTATAGGCAGTAAAATGTTCTTTTCTTGAAATTCGAATATGCATTCATGCCAGCAAATGGAAATGATAAATAACAAAAATAGAATGAATATTATAGTACATGAAAGGAAAAAGTAAGGAATGATATTTGAAAATTATATTAATGTATTTTTGGAATAAAGAAAAAACTTGTACCCACATGTTAGACTGTTGTAGTAATGAATAATAACATTCCAGTTTAGTAAAAATGTAAAAAGATTAATTTAAAAGAATGAATTTCAATTTTAGATATTTCAGTAACATATTTCACACATGAGTGAAAATTTGTACTTACCAAACACACAGAAAAATCATATCTCACAGTTCACGTTGTTTCACTAATTTAAAATTTGAACAAAAATAAAAACTCCAAGTGGCCACAGAGAATGGAATTGAAGTAAGTCAAATTCTGTTTATTTGTCATTAAAGTCCCTGTACTGTCATAATTTCTAATTTATTATTTCAAAGTACCATGGGGTTAGAGCAACCAACTGCAGTCCTGACATTATTCCAAATCATTACAAACTTATGCTGGTTTAAACTAAGACAAGTAGCTGGCAGCTGAGCCTGAGCATGTCCAGCACCAACTGTTTAACAGGGAGTTCTCTGAATTAACTTCCAGGTTGGATATGTTTGTGAAAGTTTAAGTAATAAAAATGTGCTAATTTAAAGCTTACAGACGCATTATTAAAACTCAACAGTAACTGCAGCAATCAAAACTTAGACCAACAAAAGACTTTTTGGGGGGACTATTTTATGATCGACATTACTTTCAATTGTCAGTGCATGGTTATAATAAAATAATATAATAAATGCATTATTATTATAATAATTATAATATATAATATATATAATTATATATTTTTTATATTATATAGAATATATTATAATAATAATGCAGATGTGCTTTCTAAATCTGTTATAATATAATGATAGACTAACCTTATTTCTAAGTCTATAAGGTGCCCTTTACTATATAAATTTATAGTATACCCTATTATTTGTTAAGTGAAGCTCTCTTCCCTCTCTGTTCATTTTTGCACAATTATCTTAAATTTTATAAGAACAATGCTGTAGACAAATTTTATTATCATTTTGTCCAATTTTAACGAATGAAAAAAGAAAAAAAATGAAAAAAAGTGAAGAAAGCCTTCAGGATATATGAGACATCATTAAGTGAACCATGCTATAGAAGTCCCAGAAGGAAAAGAGAGAGAGCAAGGAGTAGAAGTCTATTTAAAGAAATACTGCCTGGAAACCTACCAAATCTTGGGAAAGAAATGGACGTCCAGTTCATGAAGTTCAAATATACCCAAATAGGATAAACCCAAAGAGGACTAAATCAAGACACACTATAACCAACTTGTCAAAAGTCGAGGACAAAGACAATTTTGAAAGTAGCAAGAAGAAAGTGACTTATCACATATGGGGAAACCCCCAAAAGACTATCAGCAGATTTCTCCTAAGAAACCTTGCAGACCAGGAGACAGTGGGATGATATATTTAAAGTACTAAAAGAAAAAAACAGCCAACCAAAAGTACTACACCTGGCAAAATTATCTTTTAAAATGAAGGCGAGATAAAGTCTTTCCCAGATGAACAAGAATGAGGAGTTCATTACCACCAGACCTGCTTTATGAGAAATGTTTACAAGTTCTTCAAATTGAAATGAAACACACTAAGCAGCAATATGAAAGCATATAAAAGCATAAAGCTTTTTATGCAATATTTAAAAGGTAAATATATAGGCACATACAGATTAATGTAACACTGTAACAGTGGTGTATAAATTACTTACAAGAACATAAATGTTAAAAGGTAAAAATTTGTCAGTGGATGCACAATATAAAGGGAAATAAACCCTGATTCCAAGAACACAAAGTGTGTGAGGGGGAAAAAGTGTCGAGTTTATGTTTGCAATTGAAGTAGATGGTTATAACTACAAAATATTTTATGCAAGCTTCAAGCTAATCACAGCAAATAAAACCTAAAAAGATATACAAAAGATGAAGAGAAAACCATCAAAGCAAATCACTACAAAAAAATTATCAAATGAGAGGGACAAAATAATTGCAAAACAGAAAGAAAATAACAAGCAAAATGGCAATAGTAAGTCCTCATGTATCAATAACCGTTTTAAATGTAAATGGAATAAACTCACCAATCAAAAGGCATAGAGTGGCTGAACGGATAAAAAAGAAGATCCAACAATATGCTCTATACAAGAGACTCACTCTAGATTTAAAGATGCACTGAGGCTGAAAATGAAGGAATGAGAAAGATATTTTGTGCAACTGGTAACCACAAAAAACACAGGTGGCTGTACTTAGACAAAATAGACTTTAAGTCAAAAACTGTCTCTGTAGACAAAGGAGATCATTATGTAATGATAAAAGGATCAATTCAACAGGAAGATGTAACAATTATAAATATACATGCACCCAACATCAGAACACCTAAATATATAAAGCAAATATTGACATATTTGAAGGGAGAATCAGACAACAATACTGTAATAGTAGGGGACTTCAATACCCCACTTTCAACAACAGATAGATCATCCAGAAAGAAAACCAATAAGGAAACATTGGTCTTGAACTATACCTTAGACCAAATGGACCTACAGACATGTACAAAACATTCCATTCAAAGGCAGAAGACTACACATTCTTCCCAAATGCACATGGAACATTCTCCAGGATAGATCACATTGTAGGTCACAAAGCATTGGTTAACAAATTTAAGAAAATTGAAATTATTCCCCTTATCTTTTCTGACCATAATGGAATGAAACCAGAAATCAAAAATCACAAATACATGGAAACTAAACAATACAATCTTGAACAACATTGGGTCAAAAAGAAAATCAAAAGGGAATTTAAAAGTGTCTTGAGACAAGTGAAAAAAGGAACACAACAACAACAATAACAAAAAGAAACACAACATACCAAAACTTAAGGGATGCATCAAAAGCAATGGTAAGAGATAGTTTATAGCAGCAAACATCTACATTGAGAAAGAAGAAAAATCCAAAATAAGTAACTTTACTTAAAACCTCAAGAAACTAGAAAAAGAACAAACTAAGCCCAAAATCAGCAGAAGGAAGGAAATAATAAAGATTAGAGCAGAAACAGTTCAAATAGAGAATTTTTAAAATAGAAAAATTCAATAAAACTAATAGTTGTCTTTTTGAAAAGATAAACAAAATCAACAAACTCTTAGCTAGCCAAACTAAGAAAAGAAGAGAAAAGGCTCAAATAAAATCAGCAATGAAAGATAAGACATAACAGTGGATGCCTCAGAAATAAAAAGAATCATAAGGGACTATTATGAACAATTATACACCAACAAACTGGATACCCTAAAAGAAATGGATAAATTCCTAGAAATATACAACCTACCAAAACTGAATCAAGAAGAAGTAAAAAGGCTGAACAGACTAATAACCAATAAGGAGATTGAATCAGTAATCAAAAACATCCCAACAGAGAAAAGCCCAGGACCAGATGGATTCATGGGGGAATTCCACCAAACAGTCAAAGAATTAAAACCAATTCTTTTAAAATTCTTCCCAAAAATAGAAGAGAGAATAATTTCAAACCATTTTATGAGAGCAATATTACCATGATATCAAAATCAGAAAGATACTACAAGTAAGAAAAAAAAAACTATAGGCAAATATCACTGATTCACTGATGAACATAAATGCAAAACTGCTTAACAAAATACCAGCAAACCAAGTTCAACAGAACACTAAAAGGATCATACATCATGCCCAAGTTGGATTTATACCTTGGAAGATCATTTTACAGAAGAACATGTGGGTGAGGAATTTTTCCAGTTATCTTTGGAAAGTACGATCTGCCATAAACCCTTCGAATTTAGACATAGTTATGTGACATGCTCTGTCTAGTTAAATATGATCAGAATTGATACAATTTATTTGCTGATGATTAACTCTTCAGCCCACTCTTCCCTGAAATGGCAATTGCAGAAGCAAGTGCTGATATGGAGAAGCCATAAGGTCAGAGCTGCATGGAATGTTAACACATGGAAGACAGCTATCCTAGCAGGTCATCTGAATGCACAGCAAATTCTGTATGATTGCGGATAAATTGTTTTACATTAAGCTAGTTATATTTTTGATTGTTTGTTATTGCAGCATAGCCTAACCAGACTAATATACACCAAAATTGAAGTAGCAGGAAGAAGAGTGTGAAATCTGTGCATCCTTCTCAGACAAGAACAAGGAGGATAACTGACAGGGACAAACAGCCCATAGAGCAGAGTGAAGGACCATCCATCCATACAGGCATGC